TGTTGTGTTTAATATTTAGTGCAGTTCTTAATAAATTTTATTTTTTAGAAAAGAAATCTTTTTTATTGTAATGATTAGATGATATATATATATAAAATAGTTATAGGCTAATACTAAATACCATTTAACAAATAAATAATAATTTACAACTACAAATAATAGTATCAGATTACATTGCGCACAATATAACATGAAATAATAAATATATTGTATTGTATAACTAAATGAATAAATATAATAATAAATAAAATAAAAATTACATGAAATAATTTTAAATATTTAAAAATCCTAAATCTTGATAAAGTCTTTAAATTTTTAAATGATGTTATTAATGAATTGTCTGAGTTTTTTCTTTTACTAGTAGATTCATAAAAGGTTATTGATTGTGAATGTGTTAATATTGCTTCTTTCAATTTAACTGGTATAATATTTTCACCTGATAAAATTCTACATGTTTCAATTACTAAATATTTAATTTGCTTTTGTGCCTTAATTAGCTGTGCTAAACTATGAGCATCTTTATTTTTATTATTACCATAAGATATTTTTAATGATTGAATATTTTTACAAATCTTTGTTAATTCATCAAACAACTCACCACTGAAAACAAAATTATCACATTGTAATTCATAAAGATCCTGAAAGATATTATCAAATATATGATGATTAATTAACAAATTATGAGGTATATATCCGGGACTAAACTCTCTAATACCTGCTGAATGATCTAAAATAAATTTTACTAATCTATTTTGTAAAATTTCTACACAGTTTGGTACATAAATGGTTTTTATTAGCCATCCAAATTTAATAATATAATAATTGAAAGAAACAAGTCTAGTACAAAATCTAGTGTAATTATATAATGGTGGTTTCTCCAATAATTCAAAATTTAATTCAATGTCATTTATAGTCAAGAAATCCTTATCTTCTTCTTTTAATAAACAATTAATTCGCAATTCGCCAGAAACGGAAAGAAATTACATAATGCAGATCGGGGCAAAATTTCTCGATTTTATAATAAAATAAATTTTATCACGTAACTTTATCTCCTGCTGGCACAAAACCTTATTATCAAGTATTACCTT